TCCCCTACTATAATGTATATGACTTAATTTGTAATCTGTACGTTTTCATTTAGAAGTTCGGAATTAAAAATGACAGCTATTTATAATATACATGTTTGAATGGAATTTTATCTTGTGTGTGGGTAATATACCACAAACAAAATGAACAGATGTTTCATAAAATATGTTTTCAACAAACACTAAAATAATAAGTTTAAAAATAATTTCATGTTTGGTACCACCCAACACTCAGGAAAATTACCTACTGTTTCAAAACTGAAATGCCATGTTGAAAATCTTATTTGATTAGTATTTGTAGAAAATAGTTATTTGTTTAACTAGGCAGCAAAGTAGTAGATTGACTGCCTTAGCTGGATTCCTAGCCTCGCTGCCGAGTTGAACATATAATTTTTTCTCCGATTGTTCATAATGATATATATCTCTTTATTTTTCCTGTAGAGTTCAATTAAAATAAAATTTGATAGAAATCGCAGTTGTAGGAATGGTTGGGTGCTATGGAAATGTCCATAATAATTATAGTTTGACAATTCATGAAATTTCTGACAGTTGTGCGAAAAAATATTGGTATATTCAAATTATTATATAATGGACAGTGATAGCGACCTGGAAGTACTTAAACCTCCAGAAATAAGGGAGGTGGCACAAAATATAGAGTTGAATTTGTTGCCAGAGAAGTCTCGGATAGAATATGAAGGAAATTATTAACGATTTATGGATTATTAATTTTGCTGATACATATCAATCAGCAAAGTAACCACTTTGCTGCCTAGGCAGCAAAATACTCACTTTGCTGTCTAGGCAGGAAAAGTAATATGTACTTTGCTGATTGATATGTGTCAGCAAAATTAATATTTGCTGCCAATCGGAGAAAAACATATTTTTTGTTATTATTCAAGGTTCAGCTTATTATATTAGCAAATATTATGATCCAATGTTTCATGACCAGTTCTAATATTTTGAGTTCTAACGTTTCCTTGATGATGTATATTTTCACGGAACAATCACTGACATAAATTACTAACTAACCCGATAATGTCATAAGAGAGAAGAACATGAATCATACGCATTTAGCACCAGCCATATTTCACTCACTCTTACATATTATTATACAGGGTGTTTCCTAACTACGGTTCCTAACTGCAGGTGGTGATTCTTCAGGTCATTTCAGGAAGAAAAGTTCCTATGAACATATGTCCGGAGTTGCTTCGTTTCTGAGATACAGGGCGATGAAATTGAAGAAAAAAAATGGTAATTACAAAATATCATGAAGATCCTGGAAGCGATTCGGTTGAAATTTTGTACTTTTATTTGAACTAGTAAGGCGCTTATTCAGCCCTATTTAGATAGAAATTATTGGGGCTAGTGGCGTCTCAGTGGGCACCACAGCCAACAATATCGTGAAAAAAAGTACGCCACTGACTTTTTTTGGTAAATTTTTATTTTTTTCAGATTAAGCAACTCAAAATACAACTTTTTGGTCTCTTGTATTTCCTTCATATCCAGCTTCGTTCCCGAGAAAAAAATTAAAGCCACTGTATTGCATATCATGAACACCTGCATTGGAGAAATGAGTTTTTCATTATTTCCGCCAAAAATATAATTGACACTTGATATGCTGAATTTTAGAGAATTTGACAAATAAAAGTACCAAATTTAAACCTAATCGGTTCCAGGACATTCATGATATTTTATAATTACCGTTTTTTATTCTTTAATTTCAACGCCCTGTATCTCAGAAACGAAGCTACTCCAGACATATGTTCATAGAAACTTTTCTTCTAAAAAAGGCCTAACAAATCACCCCCTGCAGTTAGGAACCGTAGTTAGGAAACACCCTGTATATAAACCATCGATATCATAACAACAGTTTGGGTGTTCCTGCGCAGAAGCGTTTTCAGACGAGCAATATGAATGAGATTTTCGTGTTGGTGGGATATGACATACACGCCTGGCAAGAATAATTCTCCTATTGAGAAACCGTGTTCATGGGCAGCGACGTTGCCATACACTTTGTATCACGTGAACACCTCCTTCGAGCGAGTCCATGTTTCGGCCCGACCGAAGGAATTATCGTTTGCCACACGTGCCAGACTCGAGTGAGTGGGGCAACGACGCCCATGACTCGTTTGTCTATAGGAAAATCATTCTTGTCAGGCCAGTATAGCGATCTAGATAGTAGTTATGTCAGTAGGAACTCGTTTAATTACATAACAATGGCGGGTATGTCAGACATTGCTCCCGTATTGCAACACTAGTCTGTTTGGAGGGTCATGTCATCAGTCATCTACATGATATGGAATACCATGGAAACTGATATACGGGGTCGCTGATATGTATGGAAACAGGTGAATATCTCGGCAATCTGTTGTTAGATTTTTTTGAATTTATGTACAGTGTGATTTCAAAACGTGGCGGATTTGAAGATGTTATAGCCTCTGTTGCCACTTTTTCAGTTATTCCAGATTTTTAGTAACTTTCTTATTTTGAATGAAACACCCTGTACATTATTGGATTTCCAGATTCTCCTTGAAGAGCTGATTCCATCGATCTATCACACTTGGGGTCGAGCGGGAATAATTACATAGGTATAGGGTGTTTAAAATCTAGGTTTTTCAACTTCAAGATTTTTTTGTGTAGAAACTATCCATTCTCGATCAAAACCGCTTCAATGTTCCTATCTTCACTTTTGATTTACCATCTACTGACTATTTAATTGGAACAGATACAGAGAGTGATCAGAATTCTGAATCTTGAACCACCCTGTATTTGTTTCAATTAAATGTCAGTAGATAGTAAATCAGAAGTAAAGATGGGAACATTGGAGCGGTTTTGACCGATAATGAATAGTTTCGACACAAAAAAATACTTAAGTTGAAAAATCTAGATTTTAAACACCCTATACCTATGTATTCATTCCTGCTAGACCCCAAGTGTGATAGATCGATGGAATTAGCTCTTCAGGGAGAATCTGAAAATCCAATAAATTACAGGGTGTTCTATTCAAAATAAGGAAGTTAATAAAAAATCCGGTATAACTGAAAAAGTGGCAACATTGGCTATAATATTTTCAAATCTGCCACGTTTTGAAATCACACAGTACATAAATTCAAAAAAAATCCAACAACAGGTTACCGAGATATTCACCTGTTTCCATACATATCAGCGACCCTGTATAAATATGAGGTTATAGTGATATACCTAAATTCAATGCTTATTTAAAACATTTTCAAGGAACATAGACATCTTAATGACGATTAGGATTGAAGTTTTGTAAATAAATTTCTTTACTGCAGATAAATAAACAGAGACTGACAGCCGATATGAACTCCAACCTCACCAGTGACATCTGCTTGGAGATTTCCAGATTACCTGCCATTATTTAAGACTTGGCAAGTTATATGCCAATATGCCACAGCTCATATCAGTTTTTGATAAATTATAGATGAGATACAAATGTCTGGCTCTCAGGATCCACATAATCATAAAGTATTGAATCAGATGAATAACCAAATTCAGAGGAACTACATATAAATATACTAGGTGGTCCTCAAGTAATTATACATATATACAGGGTGGTTATTAAGTAATTGTACATAGAAGTATTCAATAGAATTGGCCAACATTCCTTAGTAATAAAATATGTATTGTTGATAAGAGAGATACAGGGAGTCAGAAGTAACATTTTAGAGCTTATTTATTGCAATAACTTCAACTTTTTTGGCTGCATAATTTTGAATTAATTGATTAGGACTAATATCAACATAGCAGGCAGCTATGTTAATGTCTTATGAAATGGAAACATGGATTCATCAATAATGAAAAATACTGAATATGAAATATCACAGAAGCTATGAATTATGAAAAGAAGGTACAGTTCAGTACAAGTCAAAAATAGTTGAAAGAATCAATCCATGGGGAACCAATACAGTTGTTACATTTTCCATTCCTTTTCTAGTAATAAGAAACATGTCATTGGCTACTTTTGAAGCAATCATAAACCTACTGAATAACTAATTAATTGAATTTTGAGGAAGAGTATTCTTGAAAAATTGTTGACAAGTTGTTTTTGATTTATTTGCAGTTGAGTTAAAAATATATTCAATTGATATTTGATATGAAATTAACAAAAAAACAGAATTGAAGTTTATTGTAGAAGTTCAATTATTCTTCAGATTTGATTTGTAACTGTTGTCAAAGATCAAAGTATCTATTTTTTCTTTTTTTTTTTTCACCTAACTTGATGAATTTAATGCTTTCATAAGAAGCTTTTTTCAAGCTATTCAGTCTCCAGATAGTAAGGAACATCAAGATAGTAAGTAAATATCCTCAGTAGATATACCATATACCAAGTGTCCTAGTGTAGTGACTTGCTTCTATAATTTTTTTCTTCAAGATATGATGATATAATTCAGGGGATATGTATGGAGACAAGGAACTGCATTATTTTACAGATAATCAACAGGGCTCATCTCCAAACTCCTTCAACCTACAGTAACTATACCAACTATAGATTTTTCAATTTAATCATATCAACATTTTAAAGTCAATATTATTTGTAGCTTTAACCTACAAAACATAGATTTTCAGTTTCCAGGCCATGACCTTTCAGCATTTTGAGAAAATGTGACTATTTGCTATACTTGTCATGAAAAAAATATAATATAAAATTGGCTGGAAAATTGGTAGTTTTGTCCAATATAGGGATCGTTTTGTTGGCTTACAGCAGAGATGTTTTGTCTTAATAGAGTTAAATGAGACATTATTCAATGAGGTTACCTATTCATCATTTATCTGTGGTATAATTTTGAAATAGATATTCACATAAACAGGTAGGAAATGAGTCATTTTGTGTATATTTTGACATGTATTTTAGACAGCTTCACATTTTGAACTGCATATTGTTTATTATATTTCATTTAAATATGTATATGTACGAGCTTTGTCAACAAATACGAATGTATTTATGGCAATAAAGCATATATTGAATTGAATTGAATTGAAAGATGAGCCACCAGATCATGGAAAACACAAAGTTACAAAAACATTTCTTGTAACCCAATACATCTATGAATGAGATAAGATAACATTTTGTGTATAAACTATGAATTTTGCTGTGACTTCTGGAGATCATGAGGCAACTTTTCCTTTAGTAGTCAAGGTGGATCTTAAAGGTTGAACTGACAACTCTAACAGGTGGGTTAAAAGTTAAGTATATATGAACAAATTTCAAGTCCTTCCATTTGTTGAAGTTTGATGCAACTAATCTCAAAAATCTCTAATCAGTTCACACCGAAATGGCTAAAATGATTTCCTTGGGGATGCTCTGAAAAGTATACACAAAGCCTGAACTAAAAGGCAAACTGAACTGGTCCTAGACAGTGTTGTGCCGAATTGGTTCTGTAGCAATGGCCTAAGCAATACCTTCTTCATTTATCACTAGTAGCAGATCCATTCCTGCAATTTCCAGATGCCTGACCATCCTGCTTTTTAGGTGGCTGTGGGAGTTTTTCTTTCAACATCTTGAATTGTGTCTGCATTAGTGTCAACTGGGTATGTAGTGAGGTGCTCAGTTGTTTTTGTAAATCCTGAACTTCCATTAATTCTTTACGTAAGTTTTGGTAGTTATCTCTCACTTCACCAACAGATTTGAGTAGAACATTTACCTCTACTTGTTCACCACTTTCTGAGAATAAATCATCTTCAATATTACTGACTTGTAAAGCAAGGGTATCCATTCTTTCATCAGTCTGCTTCATCTAAAATTCAAGAGGAAATACTCATTCTAAGGAATGAAAAACGTACCTACTGATCCATAATAAAAAATTTCCAAAATCTTTGGCTTCACATCAGAATGGAATGATAAAATTCAACGAACCTTGCTTTCAAGATCTTCCACTGCTTGTTCCATTTCAGCTTTCATCTAGTAATCTTTTCAACTATTCATTTTCGTTATAGAAGTCTCCTGGAATATTGTCCAATTTCCTATCAACAAAAAAATAATAAAAACATTCTAGTTTCGATTTTATTTCAAAATACTGTGCCGGAAGCAGGGTTGCAAACCTCAAACGTCAGAATCACAGAATACATCCTTCTTGCTTCAGAGGCTATATTCCGAAATAAACTGACAGTACTGAATCTGCTGATTTTTCATTCCGAAATCAAAAAATTCACTGCCAGACTAAATACTATTCATTCCAAATATTTCGACTCAACATTCTGCTGAAATTGCTGAGTATCAGAAGGTAGTGTGGCTTCAGTGAACTGACATTATTTTAGAGGGAGAAGGAATGTAACATTCATTTCTACGAAGCTCTGGGAGGGCCACTTCTATATATTTTTTAAAATCTCGAGTTTGTAAAGTCGAGATCTCGAGTTCTCGAGTTGTGAAAGTCGAGATCTCGAGATCTCGAGTTGTGAAAGTCGAGATCTCGAGTTTACAAAGTCGAGAACTCGAGATCTCGACTTTACAAAGTCGAGATCTCGAGTTTGCAAAGTCGAGAACTCGAGATTTAATTTGTTGTGGTGAACTTGTGATGCGAGAACGTCAAGAGATATGTCATTATGTCAACCTGACACCTGCCGCCATAATTCTCTATTGGCAAGGTGATCGACCGTTGGGGGCGCTGTTTCAAAACAAGATGGCGGCAAAGAGTGTGTAGTTTGTTTACAAAATTTCTTGAGATTTGCATACATTTTCTTCTTGATATTTCATCGTGTTATTAGTGTTTATTGTTGAACTTTTTACTGAAATCATAATATTTTTTGTTGGATGATACTGTTTCATCGTGATGTGAGGAAAATAACTGTTACCTACTGACTGAATCGTGGACCAAATAGTCTGAGCTTTCTTCAAACCAGTGCATTTCTGTGGGACAGCTTTATGGGATATCAAAAATCACAAGCATATCCACTATCATCAGAAGCTGATATATTCACCATCATACCTCTATAACTCCACTCTTCAAGCAAAAGGATCCTACAGACCACAAATGGTGATACCAGGAGTGAAGTTTTTCAACAGTGAACAGCCTTCTGTGAACATATTGAAAACCATCCCTAAACAATGTGTTAACCTATTCGACTATTTTGTGCTAAATATTATAGCCATCAGAATCATGTGCAATTATATATAATAGAAATCAGCAGCAACCAGCTCTAATGAGTCTAAACCAAGAAATAATTCAACACCAAAGGCATCCTGACATTCCTGTGGACACAGCTGTGGATTTAATAGTCGATACAACTATCAATGGGCTATCTTCAACAATATTACTTCCAGGCTTTGAGGATTGTTTACAGTGCAACTCCCATACCTCATATATTATGGTGCTCCACTGCAATAACAGCAAATTGTCATGATCCTATGTGCCATGTGTGTGAATTGTATCCATATAACACACTTTTCATAATGTGAATATTCCTAATATACTTAGAGTTGAGGTAGTGAGTTTTCTTCTTGGAATTCACTTAATATCTTGTAAAGCTAGTTTTTTTTTACCATATTGATGAAATCATTGAATAATTTGGAATTCCACCACATAAAACATTGATCAAATGACCTAGGATTTCAGTTAATGTATTTACACAGTATATTATCATAGATTTTGTGATTTGATATCATTTTGTAATCCTAAATTCATCTAATTGAAAATATCTATCATCAATCTGTATATAGTTCATTATGTTTTGTATATTTTGGAACTGAATTAATAATAATTTTCGAAAATGAAAGTACATTGTCATAACATGTATTTTACTGTACTTATGCCACTCCAAAGAAGTCAAGAAAGAAGTACCTACAAATAGAAGGATCTTCCAGTATTCTCCTTCCCTTAGTGCTCATGTATACTGTTTTTCCCTGAATTATTTTACAAGATACCTTCATAAAAATTTACAATTATAAATGAATTTGAAATCCAGGACTTTCATATGTAGAAATAAATTAACATTATTAACAATGAGCAAAAGTAACTAGTAAGTATCTACCTGGTAGGTACCTATTTTAGAAGGAATCAGTAAAGATTATAAAGTGAAAATTGCATCAAAAAAGAATGAGGTGTTGATTGAGGTAGTTGTGGAATTGAAATATGAATTTTGAAAACCTACAATAAAACATTACAAAACAGAAAACAAAGTAGAACTTTTACTTATGAATAAAAACATTTTAATAATAACATACAAGCAGTAAAATTATGAATACATATTTCCAAGATACAATTTGAAATGTCATGGATATGTTCAAGTACCCAAATAATCAGTGATATCTCCTTAAAAACTTGAATTCAACTTCAAGGAATCTGGGTTTTGGTTTCAATTTGTGTAACTATTTGCACTCAATTGCAAGATACCCTGGATGGCAACTCCTCCCCTGCTGAAAAATTGAAGAAATGTTAGTACCTACTATAAACAAACCATATCTATTAGCTATTACACAATCTAAATATTCAAATAGAAATAGATTGTGTCACTTCAATGTATGTTCAAAGATTCAATTCAAGCTATGAAGTAAGCTACCTACAATGACCTGCTTGTACCAGGGTTATTATGTACCTATCTATAAAATATGCTACTGTTTTTGCTCATATGAATGTAATTGGGAGCTGTATTTTAACTTAATCATTTTGGAATCACATGCAATCTGCATTGGCAATTTTACTACAAAGATGATACTACAAAATAAGAATCTATGGAGGCCTAGGCAGGATGTCATGAACAAGATTTTTATATGAGTCAAGCATTACAAATAAAACCATAAATTACCCACCTGCACATGTTCATGATGTCTATTTTCTTGCCCAGCTTTGTGTATTGCAGTTCAAAAGTCAAAGGCATTGAATTTGCTTCTTTATTTTTCTTATGAAAATATTTGAAAGAAAAACAACCATACTTATTTTTCCAATTCCTGGAGACATTTCCCCATAAACAAAATAGGTATGAACTGTTGATAATTTCAATCATGTTCTCTCTCAGATAGGCAGGCACTGCAAATAAGAGTTATTCATCAGTAATAAATATATCAATGAATCACAAATTTACCTTATTGTTATCATTATTGAACCAATGAAGTGAAGAAAGGTAGGAAGTTTTTGTTGGAGCTGCGTACATCCACTTTTCAAACTCATTTGGATTCTCAACGTTTATCCATTTTTCCCATTCAACTGAACTGATTTTTCCTTATCAGAAAATACTTCTTGAGTGCAGGAAATTCATATTAGAGGACATTATATGTCCTACATTTTTCCATTGAAACATTCTACTAGTTCAACCAGCAACCAAACAGTTGATTTTGCGTATTATCAGAGATTTGTTGATACTAATTTATAAAATAATATAGAATTGATTAGGCAATTGATATAAAGTTCATGTCTTGTACTCAAGAGAAGCAAGAAGAGAAAATTAACGTAATTTGTTGAATGGTATTCATAAAATATGAAACTTACTGAACACAATAACAAACATGACCTTGAATTACGTCCTAAACTGGTTCAAATTTGCCCACCAGGTGCCGTATCGGAATCGTCACCTTCCCAATAAACTCGGATCTGTTGACTTTCCTGCTGTGTGTAGTGTGGGTGGATTGAAGAATGATGGCTAGATATTAGGTAATAATTAAATTGCATTGATATACCATGCAGGAATAAGATAAAAACAAATAAATAATAATAATATAATTAAAATCAATGTTGTGGCTTTGTTAAATGGAAAAAATAGTTGGGCATTCAGAGGGTCATACCAGGCCTTCGAAAAATTTTAAAATCATCGTATTCAGTTTTTCAGTTATATCGAAAAACAATTTTTTTGGAAAATTCACTTTTTTCCACGTTATTATTGGAGATACAGAAATACTTAAAATAATTTTCTTCTTTATTGTAGAGCGTTTAAATGAAAGCTTGACTTGGGTAGTGACTAGTGACTGCTAGTGAGGTAGTGAGAAGCAAAATTTCAAGTGTTATTTAATGATTCTTCAAAACAACATTCATTCAATTATTAATTTTTTCTGCTTATTTTGAATTTTTGCAAGCTGGAGATTTTTCATCTAATTCATCATCTACGTTTTCAAGTGGAGTTCCCAAACCTATCCTCAAAATATTTTTTTTATTACAAACTTATATAAACATAATATGGGCCATGGACATTTCACATGGACCATTAGCCACTTTAGCAGTTCTACTTCCTACGGCAGAGCCGACAGAGGATTCAAACCAATGAACTCAATGTAATTGATTCAAACTTGTGCAGGACCTATACAGAATCACAGAACCAAAGCCACAACATTGATTTTAATTATATTATTATTATTTATTTGTTTTTATCTTATTCCTGCATGGTATATCAATGCAATTTAATTATTACCTAATATCTAGCCATCATTCTTCAATCCACCCACACTACACACAGCAGGAAAGTCAACAGATCCGAGTTTAGATGGCTTCTTTTTGGAATTTGGCGGCAGGTATAGAGAATTATGGCGGCAGGTGTCAGGTTGACATAATGACATATCTCTTGACGTTCTCGCATCACAAGTTCACCACAACAAATTAAATCTCGAGTTCTCGACTTTGCAAACTCGAGATCTCGACTTTGTAAAGTCGAGATCTCGAGTTCTCGACTTTGTAAACTCGAGATCTCGAGATCTCGACTTTCACAACTCGAGATCTCGACTTTCACAACTCGAGAACTCGAGATCTCGACTTTACAAACTCGAGATTTTAAAAAATATATAGAAGTGGCCCTCCCAGAGCTTCGTACATTTCCGTTGTTAATAATATTTTTCTCAATATCAGAAAATACCTGTTATGAAATAATGAGCGCTGAGAATAATATTGAGTATGAAGTAGTAGAGGTAACAAAAAAAGGAGCAGCATTGGCAAAATCAATAACTAAATAAACCTGAAATGTCTCCTAAATTCATCATCATTTCGTTTTCTATAAATCTTTCAATTCTCAATCTGGTGCATCATGCAACAAAATGTCCAAGTATTCTTTATCACTTGAGCCTGAATCGTCATCGTCAATAATCGTAGAAACCATGG